CTGAATAGTTCTGATTCTATTTGGGTCTAGTGATGATAATGTAGCGTCAACCCATGAAGATGCAAACCTGGTGTCACAATGTGATCCTTTTGCATGGCTGGCCATATACACATAGGTTGAAACCCCATCTATTCCATATTATTACTACTGAGATCTTTCAATCCCTATGTCTAGCACTGTGCAGTTGATGAGCTGTAGGGACAGAACACAGGAGCTGAGACATTTCATTATCAGAGGGAAGAACAAACAAAAAAGGGTGCAATCTGTAGAGAGAGAGAACATATTGTCATGGAGGTGGAAAGATGGAAGGAGGCAGTTTTGAAGGAGTAGGAGGGATGGATGGAGAGTACAAGTTTTGGGGGTTGTCCAGGCATAAGTGGCAGCATGAATGAATGGCTATATGAATATTACTGGCAGTTAACGGTCAAGAAAGAAGCTTGGGCAACATAAGGGAAATGAAGATAATGCAACTAAGGCACAGAAGGAGACTGTGGTGGAATCGTATAGAGTTTTGGCAGCAAAAAGGTGGAAGTGTGAATGGAGGGCAAGGCGAAGCCAATCAAACAGGAGAAGCTGGGTTTGGCAGATTGAAATTCTTATATAAAACACAGACACAAGATCATAGATATATGTTTGTAGAAAGTACACAGAAAATCATGTGGCCGAATCAAAATTTCTATCACCTATTAGTGAGTTGACTGAATAGTGAGTCAAAATGTCTCATAAATAATTATTCAGGCTTTATAGAGAATTTTGATTCATCCATATTCACAACTCTTTTCTACGTACTTTCTATAAGCAGACCTCTCTCTCTCTCTTTTTACACACTCCTTAACTTAATTAAGTTTTTTGGGGGATGGAGGGGTGGGGAGGAAGGGGAATAAAAGGAAAATGTAAATGACTTATTTAAATGATTGTATTTTTCAAAAATACAATGTTATTTTTATTAAGTTAATTTTTATTTTGGATTTCTTAAAAAGAAGGGATGGTTAAAATTTTTCAATTTTTTTTTTTTTTAGTACTTTTTATGGGAATTCCATCAAGTGTATTTTTTTATTCATCCTTTAATCCTTCACCCTTTTTCTTCATTCATTATGTTTTACAAAAAAGGCCTATAGCCAATTTAGTTTCCAACAACATTTTCTTTTAGTTTTCCAACCTTAAGCATTGATTTAGTAGTGCCAAAACAGAGCACTACTCCAAATTTATCTGTTTTATCTGTTCTCTGTAAGGTTTATTGAGAAGCAATCCTATTCCAGGTTCATCCTACTTTTCTGGCTCATCTTGGTTGAGTCTCTTTCAACATTCACTCAGTTATATCAGTTTTGAGGACTGGGCTTGATCTGGTGATTCTGTCTCTTCAAACCCTTATGTTGTTTTAAGTTATGGTAAGAGGAAGCTGTATACCGAATGTGGTGTTCCTAGCTGCTACTGTTTAGGAGGAGCTCTTGATAAAACAGAAAAACAAACTCTCTAATACACAGACACACACACAGAGCTATAGATATGCACAGCCAGCGGTTGTATTATCTGCACCTTCCCCCATATGAATATTTTTGGGAGGATGCCAGGCCCTTAGTTATCTTTCTAATATAAACTTCTACTCTGCTACCACCTAGTTCAACCCTTGTGCCTGATCTTATACTCTTCTGATAGTCATTTCAAAGAACAAATTAGAACTAACATGAGATGTATCTAAATACTCCCATCTGCTGAGCTCTCTAACAAATGGAACAGCCTCTGCAACAACATTTATCAACGAGCTAGTGTGTGTAGCCAAAACAGAGCTGGTTTCATGAAAGTCTATAGAATCAATTGGCACATTTGCTAAAATGGGAGAGTTATAAAATGTAGCAGTCTAGCTCCATGGGTAATGTATTCACTTTGTGGTAGGCCATAGCTCATAAACAATAATGGAACATGAGTCTCCTATTGGAAGGAACATACAGGAAGCTGTGGAAATGTCTGGGTTATTTCTCCTATCCAAGGAACAAGAGTGCCTCACTGGGTTGCAGGGTCTCTGGGTAAGAAGGCTGTGGATCTGAATACCACAGCAGGGTTTCATCTTCTCCTTGATGGTCTCACAGAAGAGTTTCAGGAGGTAGCCAAGTTAGTCTGTTACAGAAAAAAACAACAAATGGTCGGGTAGCACTTTATAGACTAACAAAACATGTAGATGGTATTGTGAGCTTTCGTAGGCACCTCCCACTTCTTCAGATGACCGGAGTTATGAGTAGGGGATATGAAAACTCAAAATAAATAGGAGAGGGAAAGGAGAGGGGGAGAAAAAGAAAAAAAGAAAAGAGGAAAAAAGGAACGAGGGTGAGAGACAGAGACACACCCCTTCCTTTTTTCTTTTTTTTCTTTTTCTCCCTCCTCTCCTATTTATTTTGAGTTTTCATATCCCCTACTCATAACTCCGGTCATCTGAAGAAGTGGGCTGTGTCCATGACAGCTCACGATACCATCTACATGTTTTGTTAGTCTATAAAGTGCTACCAGACCATTTGTTGTTTTTTTCACAGAAGAGTGGTAACAGGACAGTTTGGCACTGTTAGTAGAATCATCTTTTGTATGAGATGTTAAGCTCTGTTCAGGAGAAAGTTAAGATTCTGATTGTACCCTCCAAAAGTTAAGAGGTGAAGGTAACTTAAATTTCTTACAGATACTGTCCTATCACAATCTGAGTCTCTGCCAACTCTTTAGATAGCTCCCAGCTGGCTTTTGCTGCAACTCAGCCAGTTTTTGCTGTAGCTGTGCACTGAGGTGCAGCCCCTTACTTTCACCTCTGCTCCAATGTCTCCAGAAATGAGTGAATTGAGTCCATCTCATAGTCATAACCAGAAGTATAACTTGAATGGGAAACATGCTAGATTCTCAGACTTTGTAGGCCAGATTAAGCTCTGCTGCAACTCCATCAACTTCAATGGAGTCAAGTCCTGCCTTGAAGCATTACAGGAGCTCCCCTCCTTTCCCATGTTCCTCATCTTTCCATACTCTGCTCCCTGGCTCAGATCTGTATTATAATATAATGAACAACCTGACCTTTCCATTTCACTGGGTACTTTGCTTGTTACCTCAAATCTATGCTGAAGTCTTAGAAGTGCTCCCTCCTTCCTCTTCCTCTCCCCCGCCCCAGCATACAGGAATTCCCTCACTTTTTTCTACTTTGGACATCGCTCTTATATGAATAAATAATTACCTGAAATCTGGTATCCTCCCACTGTGACCAGAAAAGGGCATTTGTCTAGACACTCCTTGGATGTCTTCCAAGCAGCATCTACCCGCTAAACTCCTCAAAACACCGTAACCTCTGAGGAGAAATGTTCCATACATATAATGTCTACAGACTATTTTGATCAGATTGGACTGTATACATCGAGCCAGCAGGTTGAGGTTCCAAACCACCAGTGATGAAGTGTTTCTGGCCTGTGTTTTGATTTGCCTGAGGAGAATCCCCAACAGCATCTAAACAGCAGCAGGAGTAGGCCCAGCAGCTTCAGGTGAGTCAGCAATGAATGACATCCATGTTACTGAAGACAAACATACCAATGTGAACATGGTAGGCATGAGAAACCGCATGTGGCGATAACATTTTTAATCTTATTTTTTGTTTTATTATTCTCACCATTGTGGTTCCTCCAGCTCCCAAAACGAACAGGGATTTTTATTGCCAGGGTTAAAAAACACAAATTTGCATTACATCCTGGCTCCTGCTGTAATACTTCAGTCTCGTTTCTCTCTCGTCCCCTCTCCAGAACAACTGATGCTATCGCAGCCTGATTTAATTTCAAAGACGGATTGTGATTTGGCAGTCGGGGGGTGTGTGTGTGGGGGGGGAAAGCCAAGCTAATCAAAAGTCACCATCTGCTGCGTTGCCATGGGGATATTCCTCCCCAATAAATGTGCTCTTTGCCAAAATCACAGATAACAGCACTATAAAGGGTGGGAGGTTGGGGGAAGGAATAAAAGAAAGAAGTTCCAACACTAGGGGGGGAAATGAGAGAGAAACAAGGGAGAAATGAGATCCAGAGAAGTGGAAGAAAAGGAGACACAGACTGTTGAGAAGGAAAGGAAAAAAGACCAATAGAAAGAATACTGAAAAGAGGAAGAAATAAGAGATATAGGCAAACAGGCAGCTAATGATGAAGAAATAGGGGAAGACAGAAAAACAACTGAGGAAGTGGAAAGGGGAGACACACATAGACATGCTACTGAGTAGGAGAGAAACTGGAGTTGCTGCATAAGATGTAATAGCAAAACAAGAAGAGATAAGATAATTGCCCTCAAAGAGTAAGTTCTGGTGATCAGGAGGAAACTGACACTTCAATGAAAATTCCCAGGATGATGGTCGTAGTTCAGAAAGATATCACTATTCAAATCATGAAGCAAAAAATATACAAAAAAATCCCCTTGCTGTGACTAACAATAATGTATAGAGATGGCTGGGTTTTTATCCCCTTATCAGAAAGTCTAATCCTAAAGGTACCTACAGTATCCTGCAGTAATAGTCCCAAATAAATAACACAGCAAGTCTTGTGGGGGGGAGTGGCGTAAAGTACGGTATTTGCTCTGCTATAGAAATTCAGTGCAGACTGACACAGGATATGTCTTTTAACATAAAAATTCTCTGAAAATGAACATCCTCAAAACATCTTTTGAATGTTAGAATGGTTAGAATGGCAAAGGTCACATTATTAACTAACTATGGTATCTACTTTCCATCTAGCTTTCTTTTTTCTACATGAATTTTGGTAACCACCTAGGATATAGACTATAAATAACAACAACCCCAAGCATTTCTACCCCCCACTATAACTTAAAAAGCAAAAGATACTGTACCTGACTTCTAGAGGGCAGAAGCTTCATCTTCAGATGGACTTTGGTAGTGCCTCGGGTTTTACTAGCCTGGTGGACGCTGGGGCTTCAGTGCAGAGTGTAAGCCCATTACCCAGCTGTAGCAGGACCTCCCTACATCTGAAAAGGATAAAAGAAGAAAGATTTTAGGACCCTGTGTGCTGAATGCCCACTGAGCCTACTTAGACAATGCATGTGTGTCCGGAATGATCCTGTGACAGGGTGCCTGCCCCACACTAGCCCTTTAAGGGGTAAAACATAGCCCAGGGGAGGTGGCTGGGCAGTGGAGCCCACAGCTGAGGCAGAGACAACCAATTAGGGCCCAGCTGGGGCTGTATAAATAAGGGCTCCTGGAAGAAGGAGAAAAAACACTCTTGTTCCAGCTGGGGAGCAGGAGTGACCAGGCTGCCAGAAAAGCTAGAGCAATGGTTCCCAAACTTTTCGGAATCATGCGCCCTTTTTTATTTTTGAGAATCCCTCACACACACCCCGGGCCGGCCAGAGCCGTTTTGGTGCACCGGAGCACACAGCACATGCGCTGCCCAGCCCGACCCGGCCACCGCTGCTGGCATGCAGCCCAGGGCAGGCCGCGCCTGGCTGTGCAGTGCCTGGCAGCCATGGGGGGAAGGACGCTGCTGGTCGACACCGCGGGTATGGGGGGGGGCCGGCGCTGCGGGAGCCAGGCGCACGGTGCCTGATAGCAGCTATAAGGGATGCTGCGCGCCCCTTACAGCTACCATCAGGCGCCCCCCATTGGCATTGGTTGGTGCCCTGGGCAGCTGCCCAGCTTACACACGTCCTTAGTCCGGCCCTGCCCTCAGCAGCAAAACTTAGGGGGGAGGAGTTGATTGAAGGCCTGGGGGTGGGGGGGGGGGGCAATTTCTTCATGCCCCCCAGTTTGGGAACCCAGGAGCTAGAGGCTTCCTGAGACAGAGCAGTGCTGGAGGCCTCTGGCCTGGCCTTACTCTCGTGCTGCAGGGCCCGAAGCACGTCCAGAGGTTACCAGAGCTGCGGGGAGGCAGTCAGTGCAGATAAAGGCAGTAGGTCCACACCCCTTGCTAGTGATGAGTGGCCGTTTTAGACTCTGGTTTGCCCCTGAGGTAAAGGGTTAGATAACGACTGGCAGTGGGACATGGAGGCAAGGCAGGGATAGAAGAATTGGGGGTTCCCTGCGAGGGAAGGACCCCAGAATGCAGAGATATCTGGCTGAACAGAGAAGACCTGCAACAGAGGCGGAGACATGGACAACCAGAGGGCACTCTGGGGCAAGAGCGTTGATTCCCTGAGTGACCATCTGGAGGCGCCATGGGGATAAGTGCCCATCCCATGACAGACCCCTTAACCCCGCAAAACTAACGAAGATATGGGAATCATTCTGACCTCTCCTACACCTCCAGTAGTAACCCAGCAAAGTGGACACTCAATATCTATGCTAATAGAACAGGATGAACTATTCCTAGCAGAAACATGGATAGTTGAATTTGGATCTTTTCATAGAAACATAGAACCCTAGGGCTGGAAGAGTCCTCAGGAGGTCATCGACTCCAGCCCCCGGCCCAAAGCAGGACCAACCCCAACTAAATCAATCCAGCCAGGGCTTTGTCAAGCCGGAACTTAAAAACCTCTAGAGATGGAGATTCCACCACCTCCCTAGGTAACCCATTCCAGTACTTCACCACCCTCCCCGTGAAATAGTTTTTCCTAATATCCAACCTAGACCTCTCCCACTGTAACTTGAGACCACTGCTCCTTGTTCGGCCATCTGTCACTACTAAGAACAGCCTCTCTCCATCCTCTTTGGAACCTCCCTTCAGGAAGTTGAAGGCTGCTATCAAATCCCCCCTCACTCTTCTTTTCTGCAGACTAAATAAGCCCAAATCCCTCAGCCTCTCCTCGTAGGTCATGCACTCCAGCACCGCATTCATTTTGATCGCCTTCTGCTGGACCCTCTCCAAGGCATCCACATCATTTCTGTAGTGATGCATCCACATCAGAACTGGATGCAATATTACAGATGTGGCCTCACCAATGCCAAATAAAGAAGAAGAACTTCTCTAGATCTGCTAGAAATGCTCCTCCTAATGCACCCTAATATGCCATTAGCCTCCTTGGCTACCAGGGTTCACTGTTGACTCATATCCAACTTCTCATCCACTGTAATCCCCAGGCCCTTTTCTGCTGAACTGCTACTCAGACGGTTGGTCCCCAGCTTGTAACAATGCTTGGGATTCTTCCGTCCCAAGTGCAGGACTCTGCACTTGTCCTTGTTGAACCTCATCAGATTTCTTTTGGCCCAATCCTCCAATTTGTCTAGGTCAATCTGGACCCTATCCCTATCTTCCAACATATCTACCTCTTCCCCTAGCTTAGTGTCATCTGCAAACTTGCTGAAGGTGCAATCCATCCCCTCTTCCAGATCATTAATAAAGATGTTATACAAAACCAGCCAGCCAACAGATTTTTGGGGTACTCCACTTGAAACCAACCAAACATTGAGCCATTGGGCCCAACAATCTAGCCAGCTTTCTATCCATCTTACAGTCCATTTATCCAATCCATACTTCCTTAACTTGCTGGCAAGAATATTATGGGAGACCGTATCAAAAGCTTTGCTAAATTTAAGGTACATCATATCCACTGACTTCCCCATGCCCACAGAGCCAGTTACTTTATCATAGAAGCTAATTAGATTGGTCAGGCATGACTTGCCCTTGGTGAATCTATGTTGACTATTCCTGATCACTTTTCCTTCTTCCAAGTGCTTCAAAATGAACTACTTGAGGATCCTCTCCATGATTTTTCCAAGGACCGTGGTGAGGCTGACTGGTCTATAGCTTCCTGGATTGTTGTTCTTCCCTTTTTTATAGATGAGCACTACATTTGCCTTTTTCCAATCGTCCAGGACCTCTCCTGATCTCCATGAGTTTTAAAAAATAATGGCCAAAGGCTCTGCAATGACATTTGTCAACCTCCTCAGTACCCTCAGATGCATTAAATCTGGACCCATGGATTTGTGTATGTCTAGCTTTTCTAAATAGTTCTTAATCTGTTCTTTCTCCACTGAGGGCTGCTCACTTCCTTCCCATTACTGCACAAGGCAACGCAGCAGTCAGAGAGCTGACCTTGTCTGTGAAGTCAGTGGCAAAAAAAGCATTGAGTACTTCAGCTTTTTTCACATAATCTGTCACTAGGTTACCTCCCTCATCCAGTAAGGGCCCCACACCCTCTCTGATCACCCTTTTATTGCTAACATGTCTGTAGAAACCTTTCTTACCCTTCATATCCCTTTCTAGCTGCAATTCCAATTGTGCTTTCATCTTCCTGATTCCTCCCCTGCATTCTCTAGCAATATATTTATACTCCTCCCTAGCCATCTGTCCAAGTTTCCACTTTTTATAAGCTTCCTTTTTGAAGTTTAAGCTCACCAAGCATTTCCCTGGTAAACCAATCTGGTTGCCTACCATATTTACTTTTCTCATTGCACATCGGGATGGTTCGTTCCTGTGCCTTCAATAAAACTTATTTAAAATACAGCCAGCTCTCCTGGACTCCTTTCCCCTTCATTTTAGCATGACAGGAGATCCTGCCCATCAGTTCTCTAAGGGAGTCAAAGGCAGCTTTTCTGAAGTCCAAGGTGTTTATTTTGCTGCTCTTCTTTTTCCTTTTGTCAGGATCCTGAACTCGACCCTCTCATGATCACTGCTGCCCAGGTTGCCACACACATCTACTTCCCCCACTAACTCCTCCCTGTTTATCAGCAGCAGGTCAAGCTGTGCATGGTCCCTGGTCAGTTCCTTCAGCACTTGTACCAGGAAGTTATCCCCAACGTTCTCCAAAAACTTCCTGGATTGTCTTTTCTTCTCTATGAAAGTGATCCATGAATAGATCACTGTCTCATGACTGCATCACTCAGAATTATTCAGTAACTGTTTTGGGTGAGCTTGTTTTGCAATTCAAAACTCAAACTATTTTGACTAGAGTTTAAGTCACACAGTGTTCTTCCCATTCCATAACTGGATGAGTATAACACAATATGCCAAACCTAAATATTCAAAAATCATAAGTAAGCCCCCCAAATACTATGAGAGTGGTTTAAAAATCACAAGACTTTAAATGTATAGATAGGGTGCTCTCTCTCTTTTTTATGGTCTTCTGATTTTGGAGCATTTAGGATGCACTTGAGTCACATTTTTATGTTTTTCTCCACAACCGCAAGAGCTAGAAACCCAATTAAATAAACAAAAGCTAAACTGCTCTCCTAATCACATGACTTCAGGAGCTAAGAGTTAAAAAATGAACAAGAAATACTGTGTGACTTGCAAAAGATGGCAATACTGGCTAGACTCCGATTGAATACTGGAAATTATTAATTTGAAACTCTCTTCCAGGGAATATTTTGCATTATTTCTGAATGAATTGTTTTTTCAACAAACATTCCAAGCTGTTAACTCATTCATTAGAGCATTTGTCTAGAAGGTGACCGACACAACCGGAGTTCCATTTGAATTTTTCAAATTAAGCTAATGCATAACTTTTTTCAGTGTAGCTTTAATGCAGGGGAATTGCATTGACTTATGTGAACTCTTTTGGGAGAAAGCGTCCCTGAAAAAAGGGCCAATCCATGAGAATCAGATTGGACACCTCCCTCAGAAAAAGGGAGGGACCCAAAAAAGAACGTCTACTCTCCAATGAGGCTAAAGAAATATTTGGCATCCACTGTCCCAGACATATACATTAACCAAAGACCAAAGGGTGCATGCCACAAACTCTTCCCCAAACACAATTTACATAAAAACTAAAGTCTGAGCAGTCCGTAACAGTAGTAGGATTTCTCTGGATCAGAGAACCCATTTCTTTGGGACTGGATTCAGCTATGTGCCATACGGACATCACTGTACGCCACTCGTCCTCAGCTTCAGACAACTGGAAGTAATAACAAGTTTAGCTAATATCCTTTTTAGCCTTTAAAAGGACCCCTGTATTCACAGTAAATCCAGACTGGATTCTCTCAGGGAAATGCTGAGATTTCCCCCCAAAAGTCTGGATTTACTATCAGCCCCTGGTCCTGCTTCCCTTCCAGTACTCCTCATACAGCTGAACCTGCAAATGACCACTGGTCC